AAGCCCTTCAGTGTAATCAACCTGCACGTGCGAGGCCACCGCCCACAGGGCAACAAGGCAACATGAACAACTGCGGAGCTATGAGGCACCCGAGAAAGTGTTCATCATGAGTTGCACTCAAGCCGAGACCGAAGCCGGGACCGAAATCGAAGCCAAGGACGGTATCGAAGTCGTAGCCATAGGAGACGAAGACCCTACAGATCAATTGGGATAAAATCTCGGAGAATAATTCTGTTTAGGCTAAAAGGTAACCTTTTTAACCCAACCTCGTTAAACTTTAAACTTTTGCGGCTCTTCGAGTCTCCTTATTTTGAGTAGAATTAATTAGTTACTTAGATTAGCTTAATCTCTTGTTCCATCCTTCGAGCTAATTGGAACGATCATTACGTGACCCAGGAAACGATGCTTAGGATACGACTAAGGGGTTTGGCTTAGAGTTTTAATCCTACCCTAAGGCAAGTGATGGTAAAACTCTAGGAAGTATAAGAAAGTGGAACCAAAAACCTTAAAACCACTTAAGTGAAACTTGTAGAATTTGACCCTTAGACCTCTCTATCCCAAACCAAGACCCTAACCATTAAACAACAAGTGTTTCTTGAAACTTAAGGGATACAAAACCTTCGTAACCCCCATTCCAAATCCTTAAAATTCCAAAATCCCCAAATCAAAAACCCTTATTTCTTCCATCTCTCTCTCCCACACTCTCGGTCGAACCACCCCCCAACACCCCGTCTGAACTCCAGCCAACCCCCGTCACCCAGCCACCCACTGCCGATGACCCGCTTTCCCTCGTCGCCCTTCGCCGGCTGAATGAAGCAGCGGCAGCCGCCGTCCGGCAACGAGGAGTCGACCGAGCTGCAGCAACCAGCCACCGATGTTGCACCGCCCACGCTCGTTCACCGTAGCCCCCGTCACCGTGACCACCGGAAAACCAAGCCCCAATCACAACCACTCTCTAATTCGTCCAACAATGCCGAGGAGACCCGCTAATGCCCGAAACCCGGAATGGAATGACGTGATTACACGGTGTTGGAAGGTAAAGCGCTTAAACCCGATCAATTCTCTAAAGAATTGGTTGATATGCTTAAGTTTCAAGGCTTGCTAGGAGTGTATTTGGATGTAAAATGCGATACGTACCCCGAGTTGGTAAAGGAATTCTATCACCACACAGTAGCCACCAAAAATGGGGATAAGTTGGAAATCACCTCCAAGGTCCGGGGTGAGAAAGTGGTGTTGAGTGAAGCCCAATTGGCCAAACTCCTAAAATTAACCACCACGGGCGTATAAGATTACAACCGAAAGGCTTGGATTTGTACTCGGACATTGGCGTACAAGAATTACTTGAGTTATTTGTTGGGAAGGGAGGACAGAATCACCATGGCCACGAGGCCAAACAAGCAATTGTTGACCGCCGAGCAAAAACTCTTAGTAATGTTTGTGACCGAAAGCCTGTTGCTAAACAATAACAACAATAAGGATGTTGGAAGCCTTGAATGCACCTTTGCTTATTTCCTTAAGCACAAGGTCAAGTTCAACTTGCCCGCCCTTATGTTGAAACATATGGAGTTCTGTAAATCCAACAACAGGCTAAGCTTGCCCTATGGTATGATCTTGTTGGATCATGGTAAAAAAAGGGATAGAAGTGAGCCTGTCTGAGGTTAAACCCATAGGCGGGATGATCTTCAATGCCCAAAACATCCGCCGCAACAACATTTACCATATTGGTGAGGGAAATTACATCACCCTCGAGGAGGTAAGCAAGAAGCTCGTAGCCGAGCAGAGATTTCTCGTGGAACGGTTGGGCATCACAAAAAAAGAAAATGAAGCAAGCCGCTCAAGAGGACGAGGAACAGGAGGAGCCAGAAGGGGAAGACAATGAACCGGGCTACACGGAACCCGCTCAAAGGGAAAGTAGACCCGATGAAAAACGTGAGGGGATGTCAAACAATGATCGCATCTTGGCGCAGCTTACGAGACATAACCAGATCATGGAGGAAGGGTTCTTGTCTTTGAACATCTCGGTAAGATCCTTGGACCGAAGGATGTCCGCGGTGGAGGCCAGACTGGGAATACACGGACCTTCGGGAGCCTCTAGCTCGGGAGTTGGGAACCAAGGTAACCACGTTTCAACCCTTAATTACCTCCTAACCTGGGTAATCCTAGTATTGTACTTAATGGGAAACATGAATGTGCTGAAATTCACCAATCGAATGCTCTTAGCCTATGCCATGTTTAGAGTTAAGTCGAGTAAGCTAGACTAGCTCGGGAATGAATTTTGGTTGGTTAGCATGCTGTGAAGCCCCATGACTAGCAACCCGTGGGTTGTGAACAATACCTTTAATCTTGCCACGCGACTTACCTTCCAAATTGTTTGTCTCGTTTATTCTCGTCGCATCTAAGCTTCGAGGGCGAAGTTTCTCGTTAGGGGGGAAGAGTGTAACACCCCGTGTTACGCCCCTCGAACCCGGATGAATTATTTAATTAATACCGTTAAAGAATGGTTAAAAGGGATTTAATTCGGTCAGGATCCCTTAGTTAATTAATATTGTCCACGAAGGATCGTGGACCCTTACCTATATTAAAGCCTTTAATCCTGTTAAAAATAAAGGAAGTGAGCCTTTACTATTCAGATCTTGATTAGGATTCCTAAAACCTATATAAACGGGATTAGAGAGCATTTAGAACCCTTAGCACCCATATCTCTACTACTCGAAATTCCCCAAGAAACCTAACCAAAGATTCCCCCATCACCAAGCTTAGGAAAGATCAATCGGAGGAAAATCTTGAAGAAGGATCTTAGGAGTTGTGAGAGATTTAATTAAATCTAAGAGGTAACCCATGTCTTACAAAACCTATTTTCCTTGCTATCTTTTATTTATTGGCTCCTTTGAATTATTGTATGTGTGATCTTGTATTGATGCTTTGATAGAGCTTTTTTTTAGGGTTTATGTGATGATTTCTTGATGTTCTTGAGGTTCTTGATGTTCTTGAACGATTATATATTTATCCTTGAATCTTGGCATGTTTAGAGCTTGTGTTTAGGGTTCAATTGTGTTAGTCCTTGGTTTATTCTATGTGTTCAAGTCCCTATTGTTGTTGATATGTGTTTGGGTGTGTTTGGACTTGATTTTGGGTAAAACTGATGAATTCCCGAAGCGGGAATTATGCCAAGGAGTAACGTTCCAGCGGGTAGTCGGTTGGGGGGTGGGGGGGGGGGACGAACTCCCACTCGACCACCCGCCGGGAAGAAGGCCGTCGTTCTAGCGGGTGGACGACCACCCGCTGGAACGCCCACTTGAATAGTGGTGCCCGCCGGCGGGAGGTTGTCCTCCCGCTGTACCGCCTGTTGGTACGGGCGGTGGGGTGTTTTGTTGGTCCCCGTTGGTCATTTCCCGTGCTCCGTTGTATCTCGTTTGATGTTTGTGAGTCTAGTATGATGTCTTAAGTACCGTAAATGGGATTTTGTGAGTCGTGTTTATACATGAGGTCTAAACTTGTATTGTGTGGGTCTAAAGTATGGTTTATGTTATTCCCCGTAGGCCGTATGCTTAGATTGATGTCTCATGTCGTTGTGAGTCCCTTCGTATGTTATTTCCCTTTCCCGAGTTACCCCTTGATGAGGTTGTTGTTGAGTCTTGATTGTGGTGTTGTTGCCCATGGTGATAAAAAGATATGAGATTGGTGGAAAAGATATGTTGTAGGTATGATGCACTGCGCGTGCTTATGTTATGTGCACTGCGTGTGCTTTAATTATTGTGTCCCGGTGTGATCATGTTATATTATGTGCACTGTGAGTGCTTGATTATCGTACTGTGGCACAATCCTGTTATGTAGTGGCACTGCATGTGCTGAGAGATCGGTGGTATGTTGGAGACTTGGAGGTCATGTTGGAGGGGAGCTCTGCTCCGGAGGGATAAGACTGATGGAGTACAGGGTGGTATGGATGTACAGGTTGGAACTGATATAAGGTTGGAGAGGCGTAAAGGTTGGAACTTGGCATAAGGTTGGAACATGGGCGTGTCTTGTTATGTGATCATATTGTTGTCTGTTATTGTTGCCTAGCCTTGTGATCAGAGTCTGTTATGTGTTTCTTATCGTCGTCTTATAGTCATGGTTTGCATGCTTGTGTCTTGATGTGGTCTTAACGTGTCGGTATCTATGATATGTCATGAGTCATGATCTTGATTTCAAAGCTAGAGTATCCTAGGACTATATCTACGTATACCCAAGTCTCAAAATGGCTTTCCTATATTTATATGTATTATACTCAACGGGTGGGAGTGGGTTACTTAGCATTATTCGCTAGTGGTTGCTACATCGTATGTTTTTCAGGTACAGATTAGTTGGCTCGTGAGCGCGCTAGTCGGAGTTTCGGTTCCTAGTTTAGATAGTAGTTAGCTTCAGTTGATGGCCTGTGAGCCGCTTTTGTATTCGCATATTGTTTATGGATTATGATTAGTTAGTTAGTAGCCTGTGCATCTAGGTCCTCTAGCCTAGATGTGGCATAGCACCCCCTACACTATTATGTTTGACTTTCGCTATTTGGGTATTAATGATAGACCTGTTCTTATTTCATAAGCTTTAATGGTTTTAAATTAAATTGAAAATCGGGGGTGTTACAATATAGGCCACTAAACATAGAGACACTTTTTAAGATTTTTGCTAACTTTTTGGCAATTCCCATTTTCTACCGCAAAAGTTATTTTTTTTCTTAATTTTCTTTTTATTGGTAGTATAGTTGGAATGTCAATTTCTTGGGAAGGTAATCTAAACACTTCAATCAATTTCATCTGTTCTATTTTCCAGTTCATGGATGATGATTACACTTCACCTCTCTTCACATCCTTTTCTGTAATTTCTCTTTTGCCCTTTAATTCCTCATCTCTGTTGACTTACTTTCATCCCCAACAAAGCATTTGTGTCTCCTCAGGTATCAATCACTTCACATTTCCTCCATTCTGGTGGTGGGTGGGGTAGGTGGGGGGTGGGGTGTGGGGTGTTAATGTGTTTTTGTTGTGTGCACTGCAGTATGGCAAAACATTGATCAACCTTACCTTAAAGTCTATAACTTTATACAAACCTTAATGTGATTTTGGAGACTAGGTTTTTGTTCTGCTGCATATATATATGGGTTCTGGAAAATGGTTTAGAGCAATCATGAACCTAAAGAGATTGAAGATCAGACTACCAAAGGTTAAAACATTACTTGAACTGCAGCATATCATGTTCTTGCAATGAAATTTTGTGTTTTGTTTTTTCCTGGAATGTGATCATAGCCCTCCTTTGAAGTTGCAGTCAGTAATAAAAAACAGGAGAAGATATCGCGGTGAGCAGCTGAATGAAGACATTGCTGCGACGCGAATTCAAGCTGGTTTCAGGGGATATATGGTAACACGCACACAGAGCTCAGAATCACAGCCTATGCAGAGTTTCCATGTCTCATTTCGGGTGCATTTTGCAGGCGAGAAAGGCTCTGCGTCGTCTAAGAGGGACAATGAGATTTCGGGGGATTTTGATTGATGGTTGTTACTATAACCAGCAAGTATCAGCCACTCTGAAGCATATTCATTCCTGGAGCAGAATACAGTCAGAGATGAAGGCTCGTCGCCTCTCCATGGTCACTGAAGGGAGGCTGAAGCAGAAGAAGATTCAGAGTGAACTTAAACTGCAGGCTAAGCTTCATGAGCTCGAGGTAACACAAACTTATTTTAATGCCTATAGACATATTCATAAAGGGTGTTTGTGTTTTTATCCTAATTGATAGATATACGTACCATGTAGAACAGGTGGACTGGAGTGGCGGGTCAGAAACGATGGAGGAAGTTCTTCAAAGGATACAGCAGAGGGAAGAAGCCGCCATTAAAAGGGAGAGGGCTATGGCTTATGCGTTTTCTCATCAGGCTAGTTAGTTTATCACACCTGCTGCATCTATGATGTATGACTTGAAAATGGGTGTTTTTGACAAAAATAATAAGCTGGGTTACTGTGATTTTCAGTGGAGGGCGAGTTCGAGTCACTATTTTGGTCAAGCCTATTACGATTTGGGGAAAGATAGGTGGGGATGGAGCTGGACGGAACGGTGGATAGCTGTTCGTCCATGGGAAACCAGGGTTCAAGCGAAGCCTGTGAATTCGAACAAGGAAGGTAATCAAACTCCAAACTTGGGACCTCTGAAACTACTTGTTTCACAGAAATCTCCACTCACAAATGTTATAAAGAGTTGTGCAAAAAGCTAGAAAACTGTCCGGCCATAATTCATTCTGGGAATCAAATTTGTAAAGAGACAGATACTTGAGCCAGGCAAGTTCATCCTTCCTTATACTCACACAACACAAATCAAAGAATGCATCAAAAGAGACCATTCAGTCTCGTTTATTACTTGTGTCTGATGCAAGAGATTGAATTCTTGAAATATATTTTGTTGTATTACATGTAACTGATACAATGGTCCAATGCCTTTCTAGTCATAACAACTCAGATTTCCCTATTCTTAACACTAAACCCAGGGTATCAGAAAAGATTAATATTGAAAAGCATCAGCTACCCAGTACTGAGAGAGAGAGAGAGAGAGAGAGAGAGAGAGAGAGAGAGAGAGAGAGGCTTTCAAGATTGTTTCTTACAAGGAAAAGAGGACCCTAAAAACAATTTCTGTTTCTAAGCAGGATTCACTACATTCATTCAATATCACAGCAAGGAAACACAAAAATCGATCTGTTTAAAGCAAGTAGTAATCTTGGCTTAGAAATTGGGAAATTCAACAAGCAAAGAGTGAGCCAATGGCAACATAAACACATGCTCCATAGCTCAGTTCTAACACAGCTTAGCAAACTTAGAGAAATTGAAATATAGATATACACATACAGATAGCAAACAGGGAATTCAAAAACCTGAAACTATGCTCAGATCAGATTTCTTCTTCTTCCTGTGGTTGTCTCCATTGGATTAGACTCACCATAAATGATCCATCTATCTATCTCCCCTTTTCTTCATGAATCAGTGAGGTAATATAATGGTGTTAAAATTAAGATGAAGACCCAAAGTTTGATTTAGTGTTTGGAGAGACAAAAAGGGGGAATTTGTGAGGAATAATGTCAATGGAAAGAGTTAGAGGAAGCAGAGGATAGCTTGTCGGAAATGCCATCGTGCTCCTCTTCTTCACCTTGGATTCGGGCAGGAATACGGAAACCGGAGAATCCGTCTAGTCCGGATAGCGGCGACGGATAAAAAGTGGTTTCACTTTGGTGGTGGGTGGGATGAGCGGCTGTCGCCGGCAATGCTCCCGTCCAACCACGAATCCAAGGTGTGTTGCTGGACTGAAGGGGTCCCCTCTGTGAACATAAAAACTGGCTCTGTCCACCGACCACCTGCTCATACAACGACGGCGCCGGCGGCGGTGAATTGAATACGTATCCTTGTGTTCCGGCGGAGTCTATGCCGGCATTCCATACCGCTAGTCTCTGGTGATGTTCATGGTGCTCAGAAGCATTGAACCCCAGCTGTGTTGCGGCGGCTCCGGTGAAAAAGTGTTGTGCTTCTCCATGGATAGTAGGATCTTGGAACGACTGTAAAGACAGCCTTAAATCTTGGCTATGGGAGTGCATAGCATTAGCAGAAGAATTAGGGTCCATGGGGAAGAAGCTCTTTATTAATGTATCAGAATCCATGGAAGTGGTGGCCAAAAAGCTGGAGCCATGATTCTGATTGTGATTCCCCCCCACTGTCACTTTACAAGAAGACGGCCCTGCAACAACACTAGTGTTAGTGTTTAAGAAATTATTATTCGCGTCTTCCCCGTGGTGGAGGATGGGTTTCCAGGCGGGAAGTTGAGCGAGCTCATCAATGGCGGGCTTGGCCTTGTTGATGAGCCAGTCGACGGCCTTGCTGGGGCGGTCGTACCCAAGCCGGTCCTGTACGTCGTAGAATTGAATTGCGGTGTGAGCGGAGAGGCGAACGCGGCGGTCCCTGGGGCCTTTCGCCGTGCAAACCTTACTGTGACGGTCTTTCTTCCCCGTGGACCGCACAATGTGCCCGCCGGCGAAGGCGGCGGCGTTCTTCACAACTCCCAATCTCGACCAACTCCGCTCATTCTCATTCTCTCCCATATTTTCCTCCAATTTTGCATGTTCGACCACGTTCTCCTCTGCAAAAGGCGGCGGCGTTTCTCCTAATCTCCCATGGAACAGCTGATGATGATGGTGGTTCTTGATGGCGGCGGCGGCGGTGATTCTTCCGAGGATCCAGACTCAGAATCTTGATGACTCACTCTCCTCTTTCCCCTTTACCACTTTCGCTCTTCTTCTTCTCCCTTCCATTCAACTTCCATCACCATAAACCCAAAAACTCAAATCCCACCCACAAAAACCACTAACCCATCTCTCTCTGTCTGATCTTTTGCACAGCTTTTGTTGCTACTTTAAGCTTTTCTTTATCTGCTATAAATAAAGAGAGCTGAGAACAGTGCAGAAAGCCAGAAATGGTTGTGGCAACGAGATTCAAGAACCCATTTATATGATAGTTATAGTATCATCCCATTCCCATCCCATGATGGATATATGATGTTACTTGGGCAAAACTAAAATGGATGTTTGGTGGAGGGAGAAAAGTACGTGTGGGTCACCCAACATTCAGCAATGGGTATATTAATCAGATCTTTGATCGGACAATTCCATAAGGAATACCCACCGCCACCGGACATCATATTCTATGTCTTCCGTATCTTTCCACTTTAAATTAATTATTGGGAAAATGACACTTTTTTCCCCTGAGTTATATACTTATAGCACTTTTTCCCCCTCAATTATTTAGGTAAGCACATTAGTCCCCTCAATTATTTAAAAAGTGGTGTTTTTTCACCCTGATATATTAAATTGACATTTCTACCCTTAAAGTAAACATTTTATTTATTTTACTTCTCCAACAAATTATTGCGTATACGTAGGGATGACCACGGTTCGGTTTGAACTGAGCCGGACACTAAAGCAATCGAATTAAAAGTTTTCGGTTATGATTCAGATCTAGAACCCAATAATTAGATGTCAATTTATTAAAATTATGTATCAAAAAAATTGAATCTTGAACCGTGAACTGGCGGTTCCGGATCCGGTTCGCGATTTTGAACCGTCTTTATTTTAAAATTTTATTTTTTATTTTAAAATAGTCTAAATTCAACAATAAATGTATTTTATTTTTTCAGTTCGAAACATGAACCGTCTGTTCCGGTTCACGATTTTAATAAACTCTAAATATTGGGTTTCGATTCTAAATTGTAATTGGAATATTTCAGTTTGGTTGCTATAGTGTTTGTTTGGTTTGAACCAAATTATGGACATAATTTGTTGGAGAAAAAAAAATAAATGAAATATTTATTTTAAGGGTAAATATGTCCATTTAACATTTCAGGGGGAAAAACAGTCACTTCAATAATTCAGGGGAGAAAAATGCTATAGGTATATAACTCAGGGGGAAAAAGTGCCATTTTCCCTTAATTATTTGAGCTACAACTACAACAACAAACAATGTGTGACATTTCATTCCCTCCTATGTTACCACATATTTATTCAAAACATGTTTTTTTTTTCTTAGTACATAAGTTATAGAAAAAAGTTAATAGCATATGAAGTCTTCTCAATATAGTAGTTTTGTCATATTTAGTCTTAAGTATTTAAATTGATCAGCCGTGATCTTACGACTTTTAAATTGTTAACATCCGTGGTTCGAGTTAACCACCTATCATCTTTCAACTGAAAGACCACGGGAGGTCTATTTGAAAGTTTATGACTAAACGTAACAAAATCATCATACTCAGAAGACTCCATATAACATTTAACTCTTCAGACGGTATCATGTCGACAATTATAGAGATAAATTATTTTTTTTTATTGATTTTTACTTTTCGTTTTTGATGCACAAAAATTAAGAGAGTAGCGTTTTCTCATTTCAAAATTATTTCTAATCATTTCTTTATTGATCAAAAGTTTCTGGTAAAGTTTTAAGTTGTTTCTTAAATAATCAAAAACTTGATTTCAAACAAAAAATCAAAACTTGAAAATGTGTTTCTATATCCACAAAATCAACTTAAAATCTAAAAACACTAGTTCTACATATTTTCCGGGTTTCTCGTTATTAGGACTCTTTGTATTTGAGTCACATTATGACTTCTTATCCTAGTCTTCATATGATTCCTCTTGTATATATTCACTCAGTCTGTACAGTTGTAATTACAGTTCATCTAATACAGTTTTTACAGTTCTCATCTAGTATCAGTAGTCTAAGGTTCATTTCCTATTTTCTCTCAACGGAATCCCAAGGCAGTAATGTTAGAGGAGCCATTAGTTCCCCCAGTTCTATGGCTGTCAGTTCGCTTTTTACGACCCATCACTTTATTAGTATTAAACTTACCCAAAAAAATTTCTTGTTTTGGAAGACACAATTAAGTAGTTCCTTTTTTAGAGGGACACGGGCTCATGGGGTTTATTGATGGGACTACCATGCCCGCCGGCCTTCCTGGTAGTTGTCACCGACAACGAACCACAACCAAACCGGGCTCATGCCGTATGGTATCGCCATGACAAAACATTGATGTCAATGCTGATTTCATCTCTTTGCAAAGAAGTCATGCACCTCGCCGTTGGACGTTGTATGTCGCGGGAAGTTTGGGTGTCCATAGAATAGTCTCTAACTTCTTCGTCTCATGCCCAGTCACTTAATCTCCTTGGTCAGCTTCAGTCTGTCAAGCAGGGTGACTCTTCTATTGCTGATTATATGAGTAAATTTCAATTTTGGTCCATTGACTATTGCAATTGTGTTAATTGCAACACTTGACTATCAAAAATGTTAAAATGCAATTTTTATCAATTTTGGTCACGCTGGCCAAATTACAAGCCAAATGTGACCGGAAAATTTTAAGTCAACAATTAAACTTAAATGGGAGGGCAAAATCGACATTTCATGTTCACTCGAATTTGGGAAAGCAATTGTCGTCTTCCTTCACCCAAGAAATCGTCGTCTTCCTTCACACACACTTAGCCAAATTCCAACACAGATATAATTGATCACCATTCCAATTAAACAGCACAAAATCATCTTCTTAACCTTCATAGGCTCATAGCTGCAATTAAGGAACAACACTGTAATCCATTCATCGTAATTACAAACATTAACCATCCCTAATCAGTGCTCAAGCGTTTCAATCAAATTTCAGACTCACAAAATCAAACCAAGAACGCAAAAGCTAAACATATTACAGTAATGAAGAATGGGAAATGGTACCTTAGACTATTTGCAGAGGCACTGCTTGTAAAGATTTGAAGGGCAGACAAATAAGGCACAAAATACTGAACTATGGTTTCCCCTGTGTCCAATCTGACTGGAGCTCCAGCGCCATAAATACTCCATTCATCATAACAGCTCCAAAGATCACCCAATGTAAATTTTAATTGTTGGTGTGTGTTCCTTGATTATCATCGTCTTTTTTCGGCGATGGAACCGGAACAACCAGCGGGAGGGGTGTGACTTTGGTCAATGATAGCTTTCCCAAATTGGAGTGAACATGAAATGTCGATTTTGCCCTCCCATTTAAGTTTAATTGTTGACTTAAAATTTTCTGGTCACATTTGGCCGGCGTGACCAAAATTGATAAAAATTGAATAGTCAAGGTACTAAATTAACATTTTTGATAGTCAAGTGTTGCAATTAACACAAGTGCAATAGTCAGTGGACCAAAATTGAAATTTACTCTAATTATATTGGTTGTGCACGTGTTGTTACGGAAGATCTAGCCTTGGCAGGTCGACCGGTTGGTTTGGATGAGATGAACTTGTATGTGTTTCGTGGTTACGGCCAGAATATCAAAACCTAACGGCGTCACTTTCAGTCTGTGGATATCCTGTCACTCTTGCAGAGTTAGCCGATTTTCTCGGCGCACAAGAGGGGGACAACGACGGGTCCTCCCCTGCCACCTTCACTGCTCAACAGGGAAGACAAACCTGTTGCTAAGGAAACTGAGGTAGAACACGAGGTGGCGGTGGTCGAGGCGCACAACATGGCGGTGTCAGATGGTAGCAAGGCTGTCGAGGCCGCGGTGGCAATGGTGGCAACGACGGCCAATCTAAATGTCAAATTTGTGGGCGCAATGGTCACACTACTCTTGCATGTTACAATCGCTTCGATAATAAAAACTATCCTCCTCCTCAGACCAACCTGACATATCAAGATAATAGTTCAGACATTAATGGTTCTGAGGTTTGGATTCCAGACACGGGAGCAACCAACCATGTGACCCCAGACATCACAGCCCTATCTACATCTGAGGAATATGTTGGTAATGACATGTTGTGTGTTGGTGATGGTAAGGGTTTATCTATTAGTCATGTTGGTCATGCCTCCTTTAATACCCTATCTAGGTATTTTCAATTATCAAATATCCTTCATGTTCTCAGTTTGTCTACATCTTTATTATCTGTTCAAAAATTTTCTTCAGATAATAAAGTGTTCTCTTTGAGTTTCACCTTTTTTTTTTTTTTTTTTTTTTGTGAAGGATATCAGTACCAATCCTATCATCAGTTCGTCTCTTTCAGCTTTTCTTTCCGCTCGCGCATCCGAGTCAGTGTGGCATGATCGCTTAGGACATCTATATCATCGAGTCTTACATCGTATTCTTCATTCTTGTTCGGTTAGTTGGTCGAGTAATTCTATTCCTTGCAATTCGAGTTTATGTAATGCGTGTCAGTTAGGGAAATATGCTCGATTCTCACTACCACGTGTTGAGTCTTCCAATTCCAATATTCTTGATTTAATATACACATATATTTGGGGTTCAACTCATTTGTTATCTACTGATGGCTATTGTTACTTTGTTATTTTGGTAGATGATCACTCCTGTTACACTTGGTTTTATCCCATGAAATTAAAATTTGATCTTTATGTCATCTTTGAAAAATTCGGTACTATGGTTGAGCGTTACTTCAATAGAAAAATTAAATCCATTCAATCTGATCTAGGAGCTGAATACAAAAAATTAGACCACTCCTTTATTCAGTTAGGAATCACTCATAGACAACCTTGTGCCTACACTCATGAACAAAATGGTCGTGTCGAAAGAAAACATAGACACATAGTTGAAACGGGTCTAACTCTCATGGCTTGTGCCTCTGTTCCATATAAATTTTGGGATTTTTGTTTTGAGACTGCAGTATATTTAATTAACAGAATGTCATCTACTGTTTTAAATAACTCAAGTCCTCCCCTCCATCCTACTCTTTTCTTCGTATCTTTGGGTGACTATGTTATCCATATTTGCGCCCATATAGTCACCACATGATGTCCTACAGATCTTCTCCCTCTGTCTTTCTAGGTTATCCTGAGTCCTTCCTGGGTTATTTGTGCATGGGCTTACAGATTAATAAGGTTTATGTGTGCAGACATGTGCGGTTTGATGAGGCTATCTTTCCCTTTGCTACTAAACATATTTTGCAAACACCACATGCTCCTCAAACCACTCCATGGGCAGAATCAATCCTAAAAGACAGTACTACTGTTGTGATGACGGTTCCACAAGAGGAACCAGCGGGTGGGGAGGTCCCGCCGGTCCC